AATAAAGTCCAGAAGACTCCAATGGGCAGGACACCTCAGAAGACATTCTGACGAACGAACAGTAAGACTGGTGTGGCAGGAAGTCCCAACTGGAAGGAGACCACGCGGACGCCCTCGTCTCCGGTGGCGAGATAATATAGCAGGAGACCTAAGCACTATGGGCGTGGAGAATTGGATGGAGGTTGCTCAAGACAGAAAACAGTGGAGGCATGTTGTCGAGTCGGCTAAAACCCACGAAGGGTTGTAACGCCACGGAGTAAGTAAGTAAGTAAGTAAGTAAGATTATTCCATTCTTTTTTTCTGGTAAGTGTTCATTCGTTTATATATTGTACGTTACATTTTTTCTAATGTATTTGGATATCTTGCCTTGCTTCCTGCTAGACTTCATGGCATCTTATTTGCATTTTGTATGATTCTTACTTTATCTCCTTCTCAATCTATATATGTAATGGAGGAAGGTCAAGCAAGACCTTCATGGAAGCGGTTAGGGTAACCGACATGGCTCCTGTTATGTTTAATCAAGATTCTCGTTAAAGCTTATTCAGCTTCTTTTCAGCGGTCTTTTGCTAGTATTTAGACCACTAAATTAGTGTTTCATACGAAATCACAGGCCTGACTACAGTCATATATATCCAGTATATCTGTTTGGGTTTCAAATATTATGATTTACCACATATCCTTTGACATACCCAAAGGAAAAGCTTTGCTTTCTTGGTTATTCTTACCAAATGGGCGTTCCATGAAAGCCACTTATCTAAAATTACTCCTAGATTTTTAACCCCATTATAAACTCACAGTTAGATCAATATTAGGAGACAAAGATCAGAATTGAAATAGCTCGAAAAAGATTTATAAAATACAAGTCAAACTTTACAAATAAAAAATTGGATATGGCTATTAGATTGAGTTTCATCGAATGTAACGTATATTAGGCAGAAGCTTGGACTCTGATAGCTCAATCTGTAAACAAATGAAGACAATCAAAATGTGACCTCTTAGGCGTATTCTTAAAACTCCTTGGACTGTAAAAGTCTCAAACGAAGAAATACGAAGATGAATTGGATATATCAGAAAGCTGATAACCACAATTAAAATAAAAATAACATCTTATCTCGACCACATACTTCGAAACTATAATAGTCTCTGCTACACGTCATCATGCAAGAAAAATTAGAGAAAAAAGGAAAGAACGCAGAAACCTTGACTGAGAAATATCTGTGATTGGACTAAACTCAGTATTGAACACATATTTCACATTGCAAAAAATAGCGAAGTACAAATATGGGCTATGCTACTAATATGGGCTATCGCAATTAATATGAAATACACACCACCATCTATATGTCAATAGCTTGACTAGATACTCTTTAGTCTAAAATAATAACTAACAAAGCTTACAGTGACGTAGGTCCAGTGACCGTTGAAACAATCACATGTTACTGTTGACGCTGTTCAAGAAATTTTTCAGGTATGTTTTTATTTAATTTTTTTTTCTTTTTTTTTGGGTGAAAACTAAGAAAACATTTTTTAAGAATAATAAGAATAAATAAGACGGAGCGTCCACTCATTTTTTTTAACAAAGAATTTTCAACATTGGACAAAATCCAAACAATAGTTAGAGAAAACGAAGAGTTACCAATTATAAGCAACAAGAAATTATGGGGACTATTGAGAGAGATGGGATTTCGTTGGCAAAAGAATAGAAGAAAATCGGTTTTAATTGAAAAAGATTACATTGTATGCTGGAGACGAGATTATCTAAGAACTATTAAAAAGTACCGAGAAGAAGGGAAAACAATTTTTTATTTGGACGAGACTTGGCTACATGAAGGTCATACTGTACCATATCTACAGGTTGATACAAATGTGAAAAGTTCCCGTCAGGCATTCATCGAAGGTGTATCTACTGGAATAAACAATATTCCCGTTGGAAACGGACGCAGACTTATAATAACCCATATTGGAAACGAATATGGTTTTGTCAATGGTGGATTATTAAGTTTTGCCTCAAAATCAACCAAAGATTACCACGAGGAAATGACTGCTGACGTTTTTGAAGAATATTTTGAGCAAATGTTGGATTTAATTCCAAAACATTCTATCATAGTCATGGATAATGCTAGTTATCATTCAAGACTAGCAGAAAAATTACCAACAACGGCATGGAAAAAAGGAGAGAATCGAATGGTTGGATAAACACGCAATTGAGTACAAGGAGAATTCGACAAAAAAGGAATTATTACCTATTGTAAGGCAACATAAAGCAGCTTATAAAAAATATAAATGTGATGAAATTGCATTAAACCGTGATGTGATTATTTTACGTTTACCCCCATACCACTGTGATCTGAATATGATACAAAATATATGGTCTCAAGTAAAGGGTGAAGTCGAACGCAACAACAAAACTTTTAAAATAGAAAATGCTGTTGGTTATGCTCACAAGGAAGAAAATAAAATGTGCAATTTGGATAATATGACTGATGCAATGCTGGAACCGGTAAGAATTAACATTAGAGTTGAAGATTCCTTAGATTCTGAAGAAAGCAGTGAATCTGAAATGGAATTTGATTAAAATAACATTTATTTTTTAGAAATCGGCCCCTGTTACGGTCACAAATTATTTTATATATAACCAATTAAATAAACATCTGACATTTCTTGCAAATTCATTAGTACCTGTTAATCTCCATGACTCCGACACTGGCAACTTTATAACCCCTCAAAACTATTGTATTTTATTCTGCTTCAATCTTTATACGTAGTGGTCATACTCAATTTAAAATTGTTTTCCTATATGCTTCTGTAAACTTGTTGACAAATATCTATTTTTCATTGAGTCACCCGTATCAACAGTTTAGGGATTTGCATACATAATGTGCTATCAATATGATGGAAATGGACTATAATGATTTGAAAAACATCGTGTATATAACTTTAAAATATAAATCAAGTCAGTCCTTTCCACTTGATTGCTTATCATTTAAAGTGTCATATTAATTGTATTTGGAGAACCCTAGAATATTGATTGGTTTATATGGAACGCGCCTACTTCTACATCAATATCAGATTATTTGGGTATGTCATGCTACACCGATTATTAGTTCAAGTTCAATCAATCATGTGGCAAACAATGTCGTGGCTACTTGGTTTTACTAACAGTTTGAAAAATATAGGTTTTTATTTTAATTTTCAACAAGGATTTAGTTAAATTTTGACAGGTAGAATAAATTATTACCTGTATTGAATTAATTTAGGGATATATAATGACAAAAATTAAAAATATTTGTTTAATTTACTATATACCTATAAATTATCTTGTCTCTTAAATATATTGGTCAAACTAGCATCAAGTGTATGTTTACGAATACCTGATTTAAAAAGAAAGACCGAACCAAACATTCACAGATTAACTGACAAATAGTGACGCAAAGCTTAACAGTGGCTGCTAGATAGGTGTGCAGAAATTGAGGAATTTGAACAAAACATGACCACTTTAACATACAATGTCCCTCCTAGTCATTGTACGCATCTTAAATCAGTAAACAGTAGGATTGATTATAAGAAGTTTTGAGTTTTGTCCATTCCACTGATTTTGCCATGTTTTGCAAGTGTTTAGTTTTATGGTTGCTGCTAGATCTTGATGAAGTTGAATTTTTTCTAGGCTTAGGTCAGAGCAGCTTGCTTTTCTTGCTGCGATGTCTGCAGACTCATTTCCACGTATGCCCACATGAAATGGGGTCCAAAGAATGGTTATTGATGTTCCCCTGCTGTGGTTTTGATGACAGATATGTTGAATTTTTTGGACTATCGGATTTAACGAGTATATGTTGGCAATGGACTGACTTGAAGAAAGACAATCAGTGCATATAGCTAAACATTTTGTATTAGGAGCACTACCGGGGAGGAACATTACCGTTTATTGCAACTTTAAATTTACGGTTATTTAAAAAGTTATCTATGAACGTGTAAATATTGCCTGTAATATTATTATCGATAAGTTTCTGTAATATTACATTCTTTGGAATAGTATCGAAGGCGCTTTCAATATCGAAGGCTGTCAAAACTGTATCATGTTGCTTCTTGAAATTTTCGGTTATATGGTTTTGTAGTAATACTAAATTGTCCATTGTGCTTCGATATGGTCTGAATCCCGATTAAACGGAGCTAATTATATTATGCTTTTCGGAAAACCAGTTAAGTCTATTATGGATTAGTTTTTCCATTAATTTACACATGCAACATGTTAATGAGATCAGTTTATAAGAGGATGGCTCTATTGAAGGTTGGTCGGGTTGTTTTATTGGAAGAATGATGGATGATTGTCTCCACAGAGATTACAATCTCTGGAGATTGTAATAATAAAAAATAAGATATAATTGATAAAAAATTATATAAAACTTTAGTTCACGTCAATTTACTTAAAATTACTGAATAAACTAACTTTATACAAAATTTGTAGAATAATAAGCAGATTAATTTAAAGTAAAATTCTCTATAGAGCTGTCCTTTTTGATAGAAAATTAATGGGATCCCTAGAGTTCTAATTGAATCTGTTTTCAGTATCGCTATTGACTCAAAAGTTATATAATTTTCTAAGTTAAAGTTAAATATAGTTATTAGTCAAATTACTTAGAAATCAATGCATGCGTATAATTTTAATTAGTGGGTATTTTAAATAGTAGTTTAGTGCTTAATAAGACAAAATAATTGGAACAGTATTGTTAACAAAATATACAGAGAGATACATGATAGAGATACATTGTTTAGAAAAGTATTCAAGATTGATTCAAATACTTTATTTGTATTATTCAGAATATTACCTTTAAAATTATTAATCTTAATTCTATCAAGGCAGTATTACAGGCACTTATAAGAACTAGAAAGTGTTAAGTACCAAATGTTGTCCATAATGATTAGTTCATACAGGAAATATTTCACTTTTCATAGTATGGTACAATTATAAATAAAAATTTTCATTTTAGGTATTTTTAACGAATTCAAAATATCTTTTTGGCTTTGTCAACACATGGTGGAGGGGGTGGAGGTTTATTGGCGACCATTCTACTGTAGAGCCCTCTGTATGTTTCACTCCTTAAATAATCCTGTAAATGGCTAATTCCTAGTTGTAACTGTTCGGCAATAGGTGGTACCCATATATTGCCTTCATATCGAAATGCAGACTTGTTGGAGGACATATCTGAGTTTCCAATCTCTGGAGGTAGGATAGTCAGACGATTTCCCTGAAGATGGAGTTCCCTCAGACGAATTAATTCCCCTATTTCTTTGGGAAGTTCAATGATGTCATTTTCACGAAGAACAAGAATTTGTAAATTTTTTAGGTTTTTGATGTCAAAAGGTATATATTCAAAATCATTATCTCCCAAAAAGTATAAGGCACGAAGAGTCTCCATCATAAAGAAGTTTCCCGGAAAAGCATCCTCCTTCAGATTATTTTAAGTCAGATCCAACACTTCTAATACAGGAAATGCCCCAAAACCTCGAGGTAAAGTATATAAACGGTTAATAGAGATATTCAGTATCCTCAATTTTGGCATTGATGACAAAGACAGAGATAATTCTTCGATATGGTTATTGGAGAGATTCAAAATTTCTAAGTTACTTAAGTTGGCAAGACCAGGAGGTACAGACATAATTTTGTTGTGGCTCAAAGTTAATCTTGTAATATTTGTCATATTCAATAATCCAGGTAATTCTTCAAATGCCGATATTCCTCTATCAAACAAATCGAGCTCTGTATTACTATATATCGAATATATATATATATATATATATATATATATAAAATATTATTTAGCTTTAAATCTTTTATTTAATTAAAATATATTAGCTAAGTATAATATGGCTTTAGTTCCACATCATTTAAATTCTCGAACTCAAATTGGTTAAATAATTATTGTTAAGTTCTGAGAATTCACTTGTCTGAAAAACAACATATTTTTTCGAAACTATTTATCAACCCAAAACACTTCCGTGTCCTTACGAAAACGTATCCGTCTTTTGTGTAGAAACTGTAAAATGACATTTTAAGCAAATTTATTGCTATGTGGGGGGGGTCCTAAGAACAAAACAACCACCCTAGTCGATTTTCATACATACGTATTTTTCTTTGGTATGATCAGCCACTTTACAACAACTTGTCATCGTGAAAGCAAGCATCAAACAAGCATCAAGTGTGCGTCATGATTACCCTTAGACTCCGAGCGGTGCCCCAACCTCAGACAAAAGGTAAGTGAATCTCATATAGAATTGACAATAATTTATTAAATCTGCTAATTGTTATTTGAATTACTTTTCATTTTACATGTCGTCTCTTCGCATGAAAAGTATACAATCTCCAAATTTTTACGAAATTGAGTTAAGTATATAGAAACGCTCAGTATCCTCAATATTTTCTCTGGAATAGTGACATAATAAAAAATGTCACTATTACAATACACAATAAATGTTCGTAAAATTACGAATTCTACTCATTCCGTAATTGAGAGAAACATCACAAAAACCCTTAAAATCTGGACCTATATTATACTCCTGATCAAAACGATTCTTTAATAAGGACAGCCGAGAAATCCGTTATTCCTTACAAAGAAAATGAAACTGTTAAAATGAATAATATAAAAATTTTACAAATTACGAAAGCTAATCGTGGCAGTTTTTTTATAAGACTTCATACAGTCAAGAAGATTTTAAAATGGTAAAAGATGCATCTCGTAATTCAAAAGCTCGAAGAAAAAACTATTTATTTAAATCAATATACCACGTACTTATTTAAATTTCACAGCAGAAGAAAAATGGTTTATTGGGTTTATTGCAAAAGAAAACCATTCCTGGTTTTTATCTTGGATTCTATGAAAATCTTTAAAAAACTTTCCCGTTCCTTTTATTTTATCATAATAGTACTTTTTAAACATCTGTATAATAATGGAAATTAATATTATTTTCTCTGAAAAAGTAGCAAAATTCAAAACGTCTTATTTAAAATTTTTTTTTTAATATTATAATTTATATGGTTGAAATATTTTCATGTTTTTTCGACATAGAAAAGATACAACTAACAAAAACTAAAACAAAAACCTGCTAATGTTTATTGTGGAAAATTTTATTAAGCGATAAATCTTAAAAATGCTCTCCTGAAAAGTTTGTAAATTTTGAGATTGAACAGTTTTCATCCGAACGGACGATATAATATATTTACACATATTGCAATTTTCGTTATTTTAAATGAAATATTGCCCAGCGACCTCATTAAGGTTTATACAAAATATACATGTTTATTGAATATAAGAAGTACCTATTGGTTTTATTAAATGACGAAAAAAATCATTATTCGTTAAATTGAAAATAATGATAGATACATGTTTACGGAATATAAGAAGTCTTGATTTTATTAACTGTAAAAAAAAATCATTAATCGTTAAATCTAAATTTATTTACTTCCTCAGTCAATAACTTTTAGGCAAAAACTTCCGCTAGATGTTTTAAATCAAAATTAATCACATGTAACACTGTATTTTAAATGGTTTTAATTCACTATTTAGCAATATACGAGGGTATAATGATATTTAGTTATTCTAAATCGATTTCGTGGATAAAGAAAATATAACGGTATTATAACATCAAATAAGGACTTATTGAAAGTGTCATATCAAGACATTAACAACTATCTGTATTTGAAATCGATAAGAGTTTATGAAGATATATCTTTGACTACCAATATCCTTTAAAATGCGACCATAAAAATTGCATTTAAAGTTTTAAAAGAGATAAATTTTGTTTTAAAAATGACGTCCAAATGGAAGTAAGAGTATCTGTGTCCATCCCAGTAAATATAGATGAAAATCATAACAAGATTTTATAACACCATCGAATGTAATGGATAAAACAAGTAAAATAAACAAGTAGAATAAACAAGAAACACATGCACTCATAAGAAAAATAAAAAATGATTACTAGGAACGCTTTTCGAAAGAAATGCTACGTCAAAGGTCAAAGAACGGAGGTAAAGAAACTAATAGAACCAAAACCCATACAAAAGGGTACTAGACCAGTGTCGAAGCCTTTAAAAAAGGTAAAAAGTAAAAAAATTATAGTAGAATGAAACCTATTGGAAAAGGAAGAGAATATGCTAAAAATGAAAGAAAAAAATTTCCACTCCATCCGAGGTCGGGAAGTGGGAGGGGGAGACTTGTGGAAAATTCAAAAAACTAAGTTTTTGATATTTTATTTCTATCTTTTCCAAAAAATATATTTTTTTTACAAAATTTGGTGAAAACTTGCCTTAGTATGTACCAAATATACTGTAATTTTTTGAAATTGAGAAATTTATTTTTTTACCTGATATTGATTTAATATCGAAAAAGCACCCTAATTTTCAATCGGAAATTCACGCATCAAAACATAAGTTTTTTTAATAAAGTAGGTGGACTTTTAGTTCGTTGAGATCTGTACTTTAGAAAAATAAACCACTACTACATGTTACTGACGACTCTATAAAAAAATGTTAAAAATAAAATGCAAAAAATATCCATTTTTTTTTTCACAGGAAAACGCCTGTATTTATAAATCTCATATTGCCAGGCCACCAGCTGGTAATTTAGGGTTTTATTCCCTCGATCCGATTATCTTAGTTATTAGCACCTTAGCAAATATGTTGTGGTTCATCATTAAGCTTCAGCTTCAGCAATTGTTTAATCAATGATATTTCTCCACTGGTTACGGTCATTGGCTACATATACTGCCCCATTAAACTGTTTGTTGAGAAGTTTTTTCGTATAATCTGCCCATATATATAATATATATACATATATACATACATATATATATAATCTGCCTGTCTTGATGTCTTGGTAGACCTTTTTAACTCCATATACAAGACGGGACACATACCCAAAGAGTGGCTTCTCTCAACTTTTGTGACGATTCCAAAAATCACAAATGCTAAAGATTGCAATGACTATCGAACAATTGCGTTAATGAGCCACACATTGAAAACCTTCCTTAAAATCATACATAACAGAATCCACATGAAATTAGAACAAGAAATAAGTGATTCACAGATGGGTTTCAGAAAGGGTCTAGGAACTAGAGAAGCATTATTTGGAGTCCATGTTCTGACACAACGATGCCTGGATATGAATCAGGACATATATGCTTGCTTTATAGATTTCAAGAAAGCTTTTGATAGAGTTCAACATGAGAAGCTTTTAAGTATTCTTAAGACTAAAAACATTGATAGTAGAGATCTACAAATTATATCGAATCTGTATCAAAACCAGAAAGCAAGAGTAAGAGTCGAAGGAGAACTGACAGAGGAAGTAAGTATACTTAGAGGAGTTCGACAAGGGTGTATCCTTTCACCACTCTTATTCAACGTCTACAGTGAAGTGATTTTTCAAGAGGCTTTATTGGATATCGTGGAAGGTATTTATGTCAACGGAAATAGCATTAATAATATTAGATATGCCGACGATACTGTCATATTTGCAAGTGACATGGAAGATCTACAGTACATAATACAACATGTATACAATGCATGTGAAAGTTACGGACTGCAAATGAATCTCAAGAAAACGAAATCAATGATATTCTCAAAAAAACCACAAAATGTAAATAACCTGATCATCAATAATACAGCGATAGAAAGTGTAAAAACATATAAATATTTAGGAACGTGGCTAACCGAAGATGGAGATCAAGTAAAGGAGATCAGATCTAGAATAGAAATGGCAAGAAACACGTTCATAAAATTGAAGAAATTACTTTGCAACCGTAACCTTAATCTAGAGATTCGCACAAGAATGCTACGTTGTTACGTCTTCTCTACTTTACTATATGGCATGGAAGCGTGGACAATAAAGCAGTCTGAAATCAAAAAATTAAACTCCTTTGAGATGTGGTGCTACAGGAGAATGCATAAAATATCGTGGATTGAAAAAGTAACTAATATAGAGGTGTTACAAAGAATGAAGAAAGAATGTGAAGTCATAAAAACTGTTAAAATTAGAAAGATTCAATATCTGGGACATTTAATGAGGGGTGAGAAGTACGTATTACTGAGGTTGATTATGCAAGGGAAGATACAAGGGAAGAGAAACCCAGGACGACGCAAAATGTCCTGGCTGAGAAATTTGAGAGAGGGGTTCGGCTGCAGCTCATTAGAATTGTTCAGAAATGCGGCCAACAAAGTTAAAATAGCGATGATGATTTCCAACCTCCGCTAGGAGAAGGAACCCGAAGAAGAAGACGAAGAGCCCATAGTTATGGAGGTCTGCCGCGTTGACGTTAACTCTGCCTTCCTTGGGCCACCAAGCGCTGCATTTTGCAATCGCTTTTATGGATATGACCAAAAAACTTGTCGATTTGGTTTGGGTTTAATTTCATCAAAAATCGAGAC